TTATTTTAATGAATAAAATCTTTATTGATCTTCCATGTTACACTAACCAACGAGCTGAGGCTGGGATGGAATGATGAATAGAGCATATGAAATCATTGCCTATGCAGTGTTTAAAGTCTAATGGGTAGTGAAGACAGAGATCAGCTGTATCAATGCGATGCACAGGGCACGGGAGCTTATGCAGTGAGAACATTCCTAATAAGCTAGTACAGGGAAGAATTCCCAGAGGAAACTATATTTAATATGAGTAATAGAAAATTATTATTGCACTTCTTATGATCTAGGTTCCTTCAATGTTTTACTCAAATCCACCTTGTGTTTACCCTAAGTAGTCTTCTGATTATCATCATCCTGACATCACCCTGCTTATTTTCTTTATATCTGATTATTTTGGATTTTCTTGCATTTGCTTTTTTGTTAACTGATGGCTTTCTCCACTAGTAGGAAAGCTCTTAGAAGTTTTAGGGTTTTCCTCCTGTCTTTTCCACATCATATTACCTGACTCATACCTGACAAATGGTAGATACTCAAGAAATATTGCCAAATGAAAGTGAATGCTGAATGTAAATGAATGATATGTGGATACATGAAAAAGGATGAAAAGTGCACACACTGTGTGTACATAGACACAAGTGGTTTGTTTTCTATTGTTATTATATTTCTTTAGAAGTAAAGTTGCTGTACAATTTCCATAAATTCTTTATTAAAGAGGACAAATTCATCTGTTGTTTGCATAACCTGTTTATTTTTAAAAGTAAGCCCTTGGAAATTTGCTTTGAGGCACATAAAAATTATAATGGATTACTGGGTAGACTGAGAAGTCATTAATTAAATAGATACAGGACAAAACAAGTTTACTTAAATACTGATGTTGAAATAATAAGATGGCTAAACAGATGTTCATAACAGGATTCCTTTAATGTTTGTCTGTTTCCAAACTTTTGTGAACAACATTAGGAAAGAATAAGTACTCAAATATAGTCCTGGTCTCAACAGAACTTAAATTCAAGCTCCAGTACTTTCTCCACTTCTAAGATTATATCAGTAGAGTAGATAGTTATCAGGGACTCCGTCAAGAAAATTTTCATTATACAGATTCAGCAACAAATAATATTCTTTTTAAATATTTTATTATTTTTATTTTATGTGTATGCATGTATTGCCTGCGTGTAGGTAAGTGCACCTGTGTTGTGAATGCCCATGGGAGGACAGACGAGGCTGTTGGCTCTCCTGGAACTGGAGTTATGGACAGTTGTTAACTGCCATGTGGGTGCTGGGATTCAAACCTGGGTCTTCTGCAAGAACAACCAATGTTCTTAATTGCTGAGCCATCTCTCCAGTCCCACAAATAATATTCTTAGGTTTGGTAAGATCTTCTACATTTAGAACTGTGTACTCACATGGTTAACTAGAAGGATAGGCAACTAGAACCTTGGCTCTCTTTTACCCTTTCAACCCAAGATCTGCATGCTAGTTCCAGAGAATTGGGTACAGTCAGAAGAGGAAGGTTATTCATTGTTGTGACATGTTGCAACAGGAGAAATCATGCTCTTATTTATGACTCCATAAGCCTTTCATATGAAGATAGTGTCTTCATCAGTGTTAAGATGATTCAGTGGATTTTTGTCCTGTGGATCTATGTAACTCTGTCCTTTTTAGATATTGGTAGTTCTAGGATGGGAAAACCAATAATAATAGCAATAGTAGTAATAATAATGGAAATCTAAGGATGTTCCCATTAATGAAATCATTCTGTTTGCCTTATTTCCTTTGATTCATGCAACCATGCTATGATGCATAAGAACACATAGTATTATGTGCCACATCTGCTTTATAGATGTGGCAATTGAGGTTTGAGGTTGAGGTAAGTGATCTGGCCAAGTTCATTGCATGGTATAAAGCTAATGACTTGAAATTAGAATCTAGGTTCCTGAGAAGCAATTCATCTACCTAGCTGAAAACTCAGGGAAATTTTCATTGCTTAATTTTATAGGAAAAATGATTCTTTAAAGGAGACAGCGTATCTGGGAAAGTCATTCAAACAGCACCTTAGGGAGTGTGGATTTTCCCTGGGTTGATTTTTGCTGTCATTCCAAAATCTCAGATTAATCTCATTATCCTGTTTTTCTATATTTAATGCATGTCCGTCTTTCTAAAAGAGAGGTTCAGTCTCATCTTGATTCTCTCCAAGAAAAATTGTCCTGAGCTGGGTAGACTATAAGGGTAGATGAATGGAAGTTGGCTAAGAAAGACCTTTGGTATGGTACTGTTGATGCCTGTTACATAGTCTTCCCCAGCCCCACCGTAGGCTCTGTTCTGGTGGAACAAGGATGTAAAGAACTAAGTGTCATGGTGTGCTTTAAATCAGCTTCCAGAAAGCTGTTAGAAATCTAAGATACTCACTTCTTGCCTCACTCAGTTACCTTTTACTTTGGGTTTCCTGGCATGGGAATGAATGGACGTTGACTGTGAAGTCATATATTCCTAGATCTGAAATCTACCCCGCCAATTTTTATTTGTAAAATTAGGCAAATTGTTCAATCTCTCTAAGCTTCACATTTTTCATTTATACAATGAGGTTAACCACAGCAATTGCCACATAGCCGTGTTGTGAGGATCAAATGGAAGTGTCCATAAAGGCTATAACTCAGTACTTATGGCTAGTAGATGTTCAAAATTATTAGTAAGATTTTTATGAAGCACTTTTGAGTGTCCAAAGAAATGAAATTAGGAGGTTAAAGAGATATTAGGTTCCCATATTCAGTGCATCAGTGTTCATTATAGGTAAGATGTGGATGCAATCTAAACGTTCATCAGTAGATAAATGAACAAAAACGTAGTATGAATATACAACAGAACCTTATCCAGCCTCAAGAGAGAGAATCCTGCAATAAACAGCTGCATAAGCTCACCTTGAAGACACTATACTAAACAGAATAAGAAGTAGAAGTGCTTCTTTTGTATTAATTTAAAAATATTTTATTTTATTTGTATGAGTGTATTGCCTGCATATGTGTGTGTGCACCTGTGTCATTCAGTGCCCTAGGGGTCAGAAGAGGGCGTTGGATCCCCTGGAACTGGAGTTGTGGAAGGTTGCCAGCTGCCATCTGGGTGCTGGGAACTGAACCCAGGTCCTCTGCTCTTAACTGCTGAGCCATTTCTTCAGCCCCCTTTTGCATTCATTTAAAACATTAATTAATTACTTTGTTATTTATTATGTGAGTGTGTGCATGCCATAGCAGCATATGGAGGTTAGAGGACTTCAACACAGGTCATCAGTTTTGGTGGCAAGGGCTTTACCTGCTGAGCCATCATGCCAGCTCTAGAAATTTCTTAAATACTCAATAAAGTTTATGTCTGATTGGAAAGAATCACATTAACATATTTTTGTAATCAGAAAAGTCTTCCAAATGGTGCTGTAACTATGGAGTAAATTTTAACTTACTTAGTATGTTGCTAATCAATAAAATTATCATTTTTCCAAATGTATGACCTCAACTATTTTGTTTCTCACTTTGTGGTGACTGGCAATTTGTACTAAGTGAGGTATTGACTATATTTATTTTGCTTATTTAACTGCCTCATGGAGCTAGAGAACCTAAGTTAGTTATTTTCATAACTTCCTAGACTAATGACCACTAAATTAGAATTTAAGTGACTGATTCTGTAGATCACTTTACTTCTGTCCTTTTTACCACAGGGTTCTCTTGTATAGACAAAAATGAAGATGACATAATAATCCTGGCTTCAGAGCCTTAATATCTCAAACAATCTTAATAATCTTTATACCCCTGACCCCACCAGCACCCTCCCATAGCTCCCCCACTGGAACCCATATACTCTGCCAGCTATGTTAAGGCCCACTGTGTTAAGTCAGTGTCCCCTCAGTACAAGTCCGTTCCTCAGTGCAAGTCCATCCACTGAGGTCTAGTCAATATCTACTCATTAATGTGGCTGTTTGCAAACCACAAACAGAGGATTCTAGGAGATCACTACAAAGAGTCACAGAGCAGCAAATTGGGTAACCTATAAGATGTGAATAAATTGTAGAAATATGTAATGGTAGCAAGGCTTATGTAGAACTAGAGATCACTAATGAAGTTTTCTCATGTGAGAGAAAAATGCATGAAATATATTTAATTTGGTGCCAAACTTGAAGAAAATGATTTGAGATAGCTTATGGTCCCCATTATAGGAAAACCAAGGTTGTTCCTTCATCCTGGTGACCCAGTAAGGATGCCCAGTACTTTTGTTCTGCTCGGTAGGGAGTAGGACACCCAACCTTATACTCAAGGTACAAATTATTCTTTAGTCAAACAAAAAACTTTAAACATCATTGTCAGATGCTATTGGGGTTGGATGTAGGATGTTCATCTAGGAGATTTCATAGAAATTCTAAATTATCCACATGGTAACGCAGTACATACGTACATTAATTGCACACATGTAGCCACAATAAAAGCCCAAAGTGAAGACAAACATTTGCAGATATTTTAATGTTAATTATAATAATTTTTTGAAGAAAAATAATAAGTCCACACACATATTTGAAAGGAAATAATCAGTAATTATTGATTATTATATAATCAACAGGCGTTTCTTAAATAAAGGATTCTCTTCTAAGAGCAATTGCACTGATTTCCAAAAGATTCTATCAGAGTTCTTCCTTTGGCTCACTTCTTTCTATGCATTCTTCAACTAAAAGAATTAACTGGTGGCTTTACTTCACCCCTCACTGAGACAATCACACTGAGGTCCTAGTAGGTGTAGGTTCAAAATCCCAATGAAAAATTAGAAACAATAAGCCCCCATTTCCCTCTTATTATTCTGACCAAAGTCATCTTCTGTTTCTTCTGCTTCTTGGTTGCAGAGAAGACCTTCAGGAAAGAGGTGTCTTTGGGATTCACACTCCTGGCATAATCAAGTCTGCCAATATTGCTAGTTAATTCTTGCACAGCCACCACCCCCTTTAGAGATAACACTAAATGCACATTTCTGCATCATTCATAGTAAGCATCCACCCACAGTGCTGCAGATTTCTTCAAGGCCCTGAAAGAAGAGTAAACAAAATTATGAGAAGTGATTGAAACTCAGTGGAAAAGGGATCCCTCATGAAATGTTTATTTAATGCTCTGTCTGCTTTAGGGCAATGTCTTTTCCAGCCATATTTGATAAATTTCATTCTTACTAGTAGAGGAGGGAATTGAATATGATGAATTGTTTTCAGAAGATTAATTTGCCTTTCCTTCATGGAGAAGATTTGAGTTTTACTTTCATTTTATTCTCTTCTATCTCATGTACTTAAATACCAACACCTCCCACATTCACCTCCTACCTTATTTTATAGTGAGGAAGGTATACATTTTCTAGGCTCCGGGTATACACTAATAAGATAGACAGATATGAGTCCTGTCCACTAGATTGGAAGTCATGTACTAAATAATTGATTAGTCAATAAGCTATTTAATCATGGTTGTGACAGGGTTCATCAATGATGAGAATGAGGTTCTAGTAATGTTACAGGCAAGAGAAAAAGGGGCAAAGGGATGAAATATCCTGGAGTGGGGAGCTTTGCAGCAACTGAAGGTAGACCAGATATCTGTTGATCAGAGAGGAAGGAGAGGGTGGAGAGACTGCAGTAATCAGATGAGATCAAGCCTGGCCATGGTGGCCTTCACAATATGCCTCTAATTTTAAAAGACAGAGAATATTATTATTATTATTATTATTATTATTATTTTATTGAATTTTTGTGTATTTCATACAGAGCAGTTCAATCAGTCTTAATCATCTTATACATCCTTCTACACTAATACCCTCCCGTAACCCCCACCCCCACTGGAATTCACACATTCTGTTATTTGTCTAAACTACACTCACCTAGGCCTCTGGGACCATTACAGAAGAGGGGATGGAAAGACTGTAGGAACCAGGGAGGAGGTGCATGACCATATGGGAATAGAGTCCCACAAGCTCCTAAGACCCTGTTCATATGAACCTACAGCAATGGTGTCAGCATGCACGGGTGTGGGAGACAGGTTTGAGTCTAGGGTGATATTGCAACTGTCAGGGTCCAGGAATCCTGGCTCTGTAATCTGAAACCCAGTATGCTAATGAGGCATCCTACCCTCTATTCTGTGGTAAGACATTAAGTCTGTTATGCTAATAAGATATCCTACTTGCTGTACTGTGATAGGACAATAAATCTGTTATGCTAATGAGGTATCATACTTGCTGTGCTGTTACTGGACCACTATCCCTATATAAGCTTGTGCCTTCCTGCAATAAAGCAGACCTGTGTCACTGAACCTGGTCTCCTGTGTCTGAATGAGGCTCCGCTGATACAGTCTCCTCATCAGCCCTGGAGTCTGGGACTGGGCAGAAGCAGCAACAACAGGAGGCAGCACAGGGCAAGCAAAAGAGCTGCCTCAGCACCAGGTGAGCAGAAGAGCGGCCTCAGCCCAGGGCAGGCAGAAGAGCAGCCTCAGCCCAGGGTGAATGGAGGAGCAGCCTCGATGCCCATGAGAACAAAGGAGCGGCACCCACAAGAATGGAGAAGCAGCATGCAAAGCCAGACAAAACACAGCATAGAACTGGGGAAATGGATAGTTGACCCCAACTGTAGCTTAAGAAATATTGGCAACTGATTACTGCTGGGTGAGGAAGAGCTGATCTTCCTAAAGGGAGAGATTCTACATAGGCTAGACCTCAGTAGATGAACTTGCACTGAGGGATGTCTGGGAATACTAACTTGACACAATAAGCCTCAAGACAAAAGGAAGAGAATGTTATTAAACTCAGACTTCTGGTTGTGAATTTGTCCTGTACTGTGTCTTCTAGGAAACTGCTTAAGTATGAGTTTGCAGTTGCTGCTGGCTTGACTACTCATGGCCGGTCACCCCATGACTTATGCATTATGTCTCCCTAGACCCTTCAGGGACTGAAAGATTGCCCCGTGATCAGAAGAATTGATAGCCTTTCCCTCCTTGTAAGTTTTAGAGCACGTTCAGAGCTCTATGGGGACTACAAAGATACATACATAGCCTTGGATTCAAGAACTTTGAAATATGTAGACTAGTAAGGCATTTTCAGTAGGAAAAAGCTAGAAGGTAGTAGGTAAATGGTATTTATATATCATTATTGTGGTTGGCATTATTCTCTGTGTAGTTCTGTTTATGGTGGGCTCACAGGTGGCTCTTGTTGAATGGTTGTAGATGAATGATTCAGAAGCTGGTGAACAGTTTGAGGACTGAGAATGCAGGGTAAGGAGAGCTACAAGTAATTGCAAATTATTTTATTACCTGACAATGTCTCCAAATGCTTTCAATATGGGTTTATTCACATATTGCAGTCCGTGCTTGGCACACAGTGACCTCACCAGAGGCGCTACTTTGTGGTAATTATGACGTGGCATTGTGGGGAAGAGGCTAGGTAGAAAAACAGACAGGTAATATGAAACTTATACCTAAAGAGAAGGCCAAAGGAGTTTTATTTGCTGTATTTCCAAATAAAATTATATCAGTAATGGAGACCCAACCTTGACCTTGCACAGTTCTAGGAAGCCAGATTTCCTCCACATACACTCTCATCTTGTAACACCTCTGTGAGCCATGGATGTGGAAGATGCATGGGAAATGCTAACAGAATGAATATGAGATCTATTTCGTATGCTTATTTTCGTTCAGGTCAAATGAAAACATGGATCAGCTAGCATTTTGAATTACTTAGGAGAACAGAAGATCAAGTCCCCTTCATCTCTGTATCTCTTTTACTCCACCCGTCCTGTGCCATTTACTTGGAGGAGGTACAGGAGGGATGAAGGGGGGTGGTTATGGTCGTATTTCAATTGCATATGTATATGAAATTCTCAAGAATAAAGAAAAATTAATAAAAGATCCTTAAAGTTAATGAAGAGTTATGGTTCTTATCTCTGATTTGGTGCTAGTCAGCCAGATGAACACTTTGTTTAATTAAATATGAATCATGATCTCTCCTTACCAGGTGTTTAAGGATTTACAAAAAAGAAAGAATGAGAAAATTGCACAGGGATGCAAAAGAACTAGATCCTTCTCTGACTCCTAGATCAGCATCAGAAAAGGAGCCATGAAAAGCATCTTTCTGAATGTTCTGGGGAGATCAGTTCTTCATATTTTCCATTTCTTTATTATATGCCCACTTAACTGACTTGTTGGTAAAGTATTTCCAGATTTATTTGGTAATTGTAGAAGGGACCGGATTTTATTGTTGATCTTTTTAAAAAATTTATTATTTTTACTTTATGTGTATGAGTATTATGCCTGCATGTAAGTAAGTGCACCTTTATTGTGCAATACCCATGGAGGACAGAAGAGACTGTCGGATCCCCTGGAACTGGAGTTATGGACAGTCGTTAGCTGCTGTGTGGGTGCTGGGATTTGAACCCACGTCTTCTGTAAGAACAGCCAGTATTCTTAACTGCTGAGCCATCTCTCCAGCCCCATGTTGACTCTTTTTTAATGTTGTCTCTAACATAATAGTTACATTGAATTGTAATTACATTTCAACAAAACTGAGTTACTCAAGTGGTACAATTTTTTGTAGGTTGCATTAATAAACCCAAGTATGCATGTACATACCCCCACATACCACCTCCCATCTCCACATGCAATCTCCCAGCCCTACATATTATCCCTCACATAAACATCACCAATTCCTAAGACTATGTATCTAGAACCTAATCTACTGGTACATTTCTATGATTCCACTTACTTTCTCACAGTTGCTACATCTTCCTCTCTTCTTTCCCTTCCAACCTGACTGTTGACACTAATGGGTATCAGTCTTTACAGAACTGGTTAATATCTTAATCTTCTGAGATTCTGAGCTAAAATGCTATAGGTTAGAGTGTATTGGGGGGCTGTTAAGGGATAGCCACTGTCCCATCATGGACCATTTATATCACTCACTGATGCTCGATTTGGAAGTTCAGGTGCCCAGTGAACCAGTCATTGAAAAAGGATTGTTCAACATTACAGGTGGACACAATCTGCAAAGAAAAAGCTTCTATTAGGTATAAATAATCCCAGGTGTCAAAATGCTAATTTTAAAATCCAATCAATTATTGACATGAGCTTACTGAGCTTATTTTAAAGAAACGATGATGGATATAAAACACACAAAGTCTCAGCTCTCAATGAGTTTTCCATTTAAAAAGATACTAAGGTATTTTGCTAAGAAGTGTTTTTAAATTTATTTTTATTGAATTATTGTGTATTTCATACAGAACATCTCAAACAATCTTAATCATCTTTATACCCCTGTCCTCACTGGCACCCTCCCACTGGAGCCCATATTCTTTGTCATCCCTGTTAAGACCCACTGTGTCAAGTCAGTGTCCCCAGACATTTCCCAGCACAAGTCACTCACTGAGGTTACTGAGTGCTGGTCCTTGGACAGGACTCCTTTTTTTCACCCACCCAAGGCTCAGGGGCCATTGCAGAAGAGGGGACAGAAAGATTGTAAGAGCCAGGGTGGCAGCACATGACCATATGAAAACAGAGTCCTACAAGCTAAGAAGTACTTATTAAAAAATATTTTATTAATAATTTTAAAATTTTATGTGTGTAAGTGTATTGTCCGCATGTATGTGAGTGCACCTGTGTTGTGAAATGCCCCAGAAGTCAGAAGAGGGTGTTGGATTCCCCTAGAACTGGAGTTAAGGTTGGCTGTAGCTGCCATGTGGGTGCTGGGAATCGAACCCAGGTCTTCTGCAAGAGCAGTCAGTGCTCTTAACCACTAAGCCATCTCTCCAGACAACAGATATGAAAGACTATGAAGGATTTGAGGAGAAAAAGGTTAAAATCAATCCTTAGGCATACAAAGTTAAGCTGTCATGGATGAGGAGCTTGGCAGATGGAGCTGGGTTTGTAGGACTGTGGTGGAAACTGAGTGGTTATCTTAGGACTTGAGGACTTCTGAGTGAGGAGGAAGCTTTCAAGAGTCTTAACCAAGGGTTCTATGTAAAGAAGTGCATTCCAATAGGAGTATTTTCCCTTTTAATCTCTTAACTGTATTCTATTCATTTTATAAAGCATTGTCCTGAGAGAGTTAACAATTGTTTTAGAATTCCAGTATTAAGAACCTGTATAGATGCCACTTTTAGACATTTTTAGAGTGTCTTTTTATGGTTTAGTGTTAGCTAAGTGGTACCATTTTGAATGTTAATCTGTAATATTAACGTATAGTTTTAGGAATTTTGAGGCTCTTCCCCAATCATTTCAATGGTATATCTGAGATCAAGACTATTTCAAATACATTTTAAGCTGTTTGGTTTTATCTTTCTTATTTTCTCATGTTTGTATAGTGAAATATTACAGAATGCACTATACACTGAATGCATCATCTAATGTTAAAATAGGCTGGCTTAATTATTATTGATATTAATTATTATTATTATTTAAAAAAGTAACCACAGAAGCCAGGAAAGTAGAAAGGGACCATGAGGGAAGGGGAAAGAAGGAGCTAGAGAAGAGGTTGGGGGAATAGTAAGACACAAGCACTATCAAGGGGAAAATGGAAAAAATGGGCGTGGGGAACTTTAGGGGAGAATAAGGAAAGTATAGGAGGAGAGGGAGAAAGAAGAGATAAATAATACTAAAACCATAGGGAAACGTAGTATTTCATAATCTTATTTAAAAAATTATTTATTGTTTTTATTTTATGTGTATGAGTGTATTGCCTGCCAGTGTTTAAGTACACCTGTGTCATGAAATGCCCGTGGAGGTCAGAAGAGGGCGTTATATTCCTCTGGAATATAAATTATGGATGGTTGTTAGCTTCCATATGGGTGCTTGGAATTGTACCCAGGTCCTTTGACAGGCAGTCAGTGCTCTTAACTGCTGAGTCATCCTCTAGCCTCCAATAAGCATATTTAAAATTACACATTTGTGAGTGCTTATGAGTAGTTGAAGGTTATCTAACAAAAATCCCAGTGCCAGGCCAGGATTATTTGGTTTGCAAATCCCCTCTCCATTTTTGGAGAGCTATTATTTCTGTATCAGTGTGTGTATGTGTGTTCCTTTACCTTTAAAAAAGTCTATCTGTTGCTCTTTGCTATGTCTGAGGTTTTTCCTGCTTTTTAATTCTTTAATTGGTAGAGAAAATGAACCTAATCAAGCCTCCTAGATGATAACAGTACCAAGTAACCAGCTCTAAACACAAGTACAGAAGAGCACCACTAAATGAACTAAGTATACTCTATCTATCTATCTATCTATCTATCTATCTATCTATCTATCTATCTATCTATCATCTATCTATCATCTATCTATCTACCTACCCATATATGCAAATGTATGTATATATGTAACAATATTAAAGAAGAGGATAAGAAATTGACAGGGACTAGGGGGATGTGGGATGAGCTGGAGGGGGCAGAAGGAGGGGTGGAAATAATGAGATACATTACTCCTGTACGAAATACTCAAAAATAAAATAAAATAATTTAAATGCTTATAAATTTCCCAGTTTTAATTTCAAGTATAGTAGTTATCAATAATTATAGATCTTATATAAACAAAATTCTTTGAGGTTTTGAATAATGTTTAAGAGAAAAAAGTGTTTGTTGGCTTTAGTTCTTACAAATGAGGTGGGGGCATGTGTGGAAGACCCAGACTGGAGGATTAGTGCAGAGGTTTTGCTGGCTTTATTTATTATCTACAAGCATGATATGATAGCATATTATTCTAATTAAATTTCTAATATGCAGAATCATCACTTAATAGGAGAAATGGAAAAAGAAGATCAAGTGATTCACTGTAATATTTTTTTTCCCAGGGATGTTCCATGTAAGACAAGGTGAAATATTAATAAAGCCTTCTATAATAAAATTACAGGGTCAACAGCCAAATAGAAAACCATTTGCAACACATATTATGGGCAATGTGCTAATATCTGTACTCTATAATGAGTTACTGAAACCTAATAACAAAGTATGACTATCCAGATAAACAACAGGTCAAGGGCACTGGAAGCAATTCGCAGAAAAAGAAATGCAAATCTCCAACCAATACTTGAAAAGCATCTGTTCTAACTAATGAGTAAATAAATGATAAATTACAACTAAAAGATACAAAAGTCATTCTATGGCAAATTAATTGAATGGGGGTCATTCCTCTGGACTTTGTGTGGGTTTGAGTTTGAGTATGAGCTTGGAGAAGAAGCAAAATAATGCCTGAATTCCTTCATTATAATCATGGCACAGTCAGTGGAAAGGACCATGGCTTAGGGAACAGGGATGTTTTGTGTGGACCATAACTTTGCTAAGTGTTAACAGCATGTTTGGAAAGCATGCCATGTTTTATTTTTGAAATGTCTTGTCTATAAAATGAGATCATATGATTTGTAGGGTTCTCATCGGTATAAAAATCATCCTATAATTTTGTGTCTCTGATTCACTTGAAAGGCTATGTTATATGAGTGATTAGAGTAGAAAGCCAGCAATCTTTAATATAAAGTTTCAGTTGGTAAATATTTTAGTTCTAACATAGACAAGCAATGTTTTATGGCATGAAAGTAGTCATAGGTGATATGCAAATCAGTGAACATGGTTAAGGGCCATGCAAGCAGTGGACCAGATTTGGCTCCTGGACTGCAGTTGACTGATATTTGGTTCACAGGAAAAGCTCTATAATCAAAGTTCTCAGATTTAAAATCTGCTGTTATCACATATGAGTTAATGAACCCTTTCATGACTCAATGTTATCATGCTGTAACATGCGAATAACCATTGTTTCTACCTTGTGTAGTTACATGAGAAGCACGTCACAGAAGCACTTTATGAAGGTGAGTTATTACTGTTATTTGAACTAGATTCTAAGCCTGTCTGGTTGGAAGGATTCTCCCTCAGGAACTCCATCATTACCTGAGTGCTGAGCCAGTCCTGGTTTTCCTCGCTGCTCATTTTCATGGGTATGTGATTCATCTGGGTAACATATGCAATCCAGGGACTTTCAAGAAACCTTTTGAGGAATAAAAAGAAGGGAGTGGTGACTCCTTAGGATGTTTTAGTTGCAACCACTGGGCTTGCAAAACTTCTGGGTGAATTGGACAAACACTGGTGGTGATGAAAGAGGTTCTAAGGTCCTGATGGCCATTCATTTCCTCTTCAGATAGCATTTCTAAGTAGGGTTGGCATGCTTTTGGCCATATGCTCTGTCCACGTTCTAACTCATGGGATCAGTGCCTGTAATGAGTCTATAGTTTTGGTGTCAGGATAAGAGATACTAAGGGTGAATGCTTGCCTGGCATGCACGAAGCCCTCAGTTTGATTCCCAGAATAGAAAAATAAAAATACCAGGATCTCTAAGGGCATTAGCAAAGCAGTTGACACTTTTTCATCAGATAGAGCTGGGTTCAAGTTGGGCACCTGTGTTGGCCCTTCCTTGTTCTGTCACTTCAGGTGAGTCATTTAATCTCACTGAGCTTTAGTCCCTGAAAGAAAAAATGATGATACTATCTATATTGTAGGGCTGGCTATGTCAGGATTACATCAAACAAAAGAATACATGTAGAGAGAGTCTTTAACCAAGTGTCTGATGCATAGTTACTGCCATTATTTTAATAACTTGTTAGGGTTTAGCATAACAATGCAACTGGATGAGGAGGAAAGGAATTAGAAATTCAGAGAGGGCTGTTTAGGCATAATTATAGTTTGTAGCTAATTTGGTTTTGCAACAGTGTGTAGTCATGAAAGAACTCAAAATGTCCTGTTCTGTTGTGGTGATTCTTGATGTCAAAGTAGATTACAGTTTTTGAGGTCTTAAAGATCAGATGAAATCCAAGAAAGTGGGGAAAAGGCAGATTGGGTGAAATCTTCTTGTAGGGAGCGTGTATTATTCAACTGTTTGAACCACTGGCTCTTTGACTTTCTTTAAAACCTTTCACTGGAGGAGGGGGGTCATGGTGTCATAATTTTTTTGCTAATTACAAATAGCTCTGATTAAAAAATGGTAAGATGACCATCTAGGCTATAGAAATCAGAGAAATTTCTTACTTGACCAAATATATGAGCAGCACCGTTCCGAAAATTCCATAGAAAGGGCCGAAGGTGATGAAATACCGAATGTAGAAGCTGCTGACCAAGGCTATGTCCTGCAGAGAAAAGGGCTTTAGTCAGAAGCCTTGAGCATAATTTCAAATCCTCATCGTTGAGCAAGGTCCCAGTCTGATGTCTGGGTTAGTCTAGGAAGCTACACACGAGGAAGCAAACTCTCCACTTTTCTATCTGGTGTTTTAGAAAATGAGCCAAGTTACTCACAGTCCAATACTTTCGAAGGTACATCTCTTGCATGGATTGGAGATTGAAGTACACCGGCATGAGGAGGGGGAGCCCCACTGTAGAAAGAACCAGAAAAAATGACTAATAGAGGAGCAGCATGGGCCACGCAAGCCAGCAGGAGTCTACGTCTTCTGTATTCTCTTCCCAGAATGTTAGCCTGAGAAGAGATGCAAGGTGGAAATATAGAAGCCCAACCCAGACTCCCCTGGGCTTTCCACACCTCAGAAGCTGGGTGAGGAATCAGACCAGTAGCTCCAGGTTCACATTCTCTCATCAAAGAATCCAGTGAAAAACTGAAGATTGGAGTCATTTTGATGGAAGTATCCCCCTCTCTGAAATCTATTATGAGTTTTCAAGATTTTCCTAGGCTTTTAGTACTCCTAAATACAGAGAATTGAGTTCTGTCATACACATTGATATGGCAGGAATGAAGAAAGTATACTCATTTCCAGGACAGAGAGCCATGCACCTGCTAGTCTCATAGCAACGGCAAGGCTTCCAAGAGCACAGAGCGATCTCAAGTAGACCCTTTGCCTTTAGACAAAAGCTGTCTTCCTGACAAAAGGAGCTTTAGAGCACCTTTTGAGCTCTGTTCTCAGCTAGATCTCAAGTTTGACCTGGGGATTGCAAGTACTCAGTAAAAATGATTTAACCCACATCTGTACTGAGAGGCAAACACCAACATCATTTTTAGCAACTCAAACTCGAATCCCCTCAGCCTCCTTGAAGTTCTGGTCCAAGAAAACTGATTTCTGCCAAAGGACTGTACTTTGTTCCATCCAACCTGACAAGAGCACCTGACATCCTTTTTGTTCCCAGTAGGGCCAGAGCCTAGCACCAACAAACACCAGTTTGCAGACAAAGATGGCCTTACCTAATCACAGTGATCAACACCCCCTCCCTTTATTCTACCTTCCAAGCACACCTCTGGTATTTTTTCCTTTAGCATACAGTCAAGGCATTTGAAAAGCCTTCCTCCCACCATTTCTTTCCCCTTATGCATTGGCCTGAATAAAATTTGTCTAGCCATCTTTATGAAATGCATGAGAATTTGAGTTTGGTTTATTTATTTGTACCTGAGCGGCTAAGCTGGAATTCCAAGAGAAAGGACACAAGCAGCTGCTGAGTGTCTGGCAGGGGTGGGAGGTGGGTGAGGGGATGTGTGGATGGGGTGTCACAGGTGAGGTGGGAGCTGAGGTTGTAAGACAGACATCTACACCGTACACTCATTTGTCAAAAACCTATGGAGATATCACTCCACTACAGAGAGGAGAGGTAAAGGTATATTATTTAGTAAAGTTCAGAAAATGAGCTTTATCTGTGAACTGCATTTTTTTTGGGTTAGAGTCAGCTACCTGTCAGAATAGGGTACAGACAGAAGGGGCTGATGATGCGTGTACAGAGACTGAATCCCACTGTGGAAGAAGGACCAGAGGTGGACAGCCCCAGTTTCCAAATGACTTACCAATGGTTATCTTGCACAGGCATGCTACAAGTGACCACTTCTTGTCTACATGGATAAATGGGGTAGCCTGTAATGGGGCTTCTCAATCTTAGGACTACTGGATGATGTGGCTGGGTAATTATTTATTATGAAGGGCTACACTTGTATACTGTAGAATTTTTGAAATCCTCCCTGTCTTTGCCCCTCTCTTTCCACAGTGATAAACAAACACATCTCTCAACATTGTCAAATATCCCCTGGCGAGAAAAACCGCCCTCAGTTACAAACCTGTAGTTACAGATGATGTTTGGTTCCTTCCGTGGCATTGATTTAGTTACCAAATATGGAAGTATGTTTTAGACAAATAGTTTGGAGATTCCTTGGAAACTTGTTCATAAGCTGATAGGGTTTGGTTTCGGTTAACAGAAGAACCTCTTTGCTTACAGTGTTCTTTTATTGGTATCAGAATTGCTAAGTTAAACTGATTTGCTCTCAAGTTTGGTGATGTATGCATCTGTCTATTTATCATCTATCTATCTATCTATCTATCTATCTATCTATCTATCTATCTATCTATCTATCTAATCTGTCTATATATATATGTCTATCTATCATCTATCATCATCATCTATCATCTATTTGCCTATCTACCTATGCATCTGTCAGTCATGTATCTGGTATGTGTGAATATTCTATAGCTATATGCAGATTCCAGCAGTAGCAAATGTCACATGGAAGCTCCATTGATGGTCTTTATTCTTGGCATTCTTCTGGCATTACACTGAAAATGCATCAAATTTAAATCCAGTCCATTTCTTAGCTATACAAATGTTACTGTTCTTTTTCCTTGATAGTTTAATCTTTCCAAGGCAAGAGTCCAGGATGCCAGACCCCCGAATCACATTCTGCTTTCTGACCCTCTTTGGGCACATCCTTTTATTCCTGCCTAACACTCAGTATGATAAGCAATCTGTTAGAAATGCCCATTTGTTTTTCCATTTTCATTTTCATATTTTCCCACTAGTGAGTCTGAAATAAAACATGTTTCTTTTCTCAATAACAGATCAGATGTGGACTGGTTTCTGTGACAGGATTCTAATGATGTTTTCTGGCTTAATTCGTACTTGTAAGGAATGGGGCTGAAGTAGACTCACCCATGTAGAAGTACAGGTGCTGTATTTCATAGTCGATGTATTTGATTTTCTTCTTGCCATACTGAAAGGACAGAGAATAAAAGTAAGAGAGAATGTCACTGGTCATATCATTCTGCAGGGTATGGTGAGTGTGTGTGTGTGTGTGTGTGTGTGTGTGTACATGCGTGCACATGATATCTGATTAGAGTTCATTGCCTGCCAAACTTGAGACACTAGAAAAACCAGAACTGGGTTTGGGAAATGATATTGTGCTTTAATTAAACAGAGGCATATTTTTTATTTTAATTAAATGTGGGAAATTCTTGCCCAGATGAATTATTCCACTTTACTATGGGGTTTATTATCACTTCAAAACAATTCTCATGAAAATCACTTTAAAATTTATTCTCCTTATATGGAGTGCAATGGTAACTTCAAAAGGGGAACTTCAAAATGTACATTTCTGGCAAGCTTTTCAAGCTCAAGCTCTTCTTCAACTGTAGTGGTTAGGCTTTTTGCTTGAACACCAGACTCCATCTTTGTTACTTTATCCAAAGGATATTGACTAGGTGGTTTTGTGATACATCATCCCTCCTGTCTGCCTCATCTTTTCCCTTCTGAGTTATCATCATGAATTTAAATTGTGATTTACTATTCTAAGACATGATAGTTTATATGATATTTTATATCTACCTCTTATAATTACTCACCATATATAATTATAATAACTCACTGACTAATTAGAACTTGATGCATTTCCTAGGCTGCTTCCTGGTTAATTTGGCCTCTTATCAGGACACAATGACAGTAATTGCTTTGATAGGAGACATAGGATTAATGATCATGTATCTCTAGTCCTAGCTGACATTCATTAAAGGAATGACTGGGTGAATAATAATTCACATGTACTCTGTATTTTCTCTTATGGAAACTGAGTTGTGACACTTAGGAAATGTTGGACTCATTTTACCCAGTTGCTCTTTTCCTTTTTATGTATAGATGTCTTCCTTTATTTGGATAATGCAGTTAGTTCCTCCTTTTGTTTTCATAAATAAAGGGACATATCATCTTGATAGATTGTTACTGTTTACAGTTTCTCTTAAACCTCTATAGTGAGAAACATGAAAAAGAAATCAGGTACAAGATGCTTGAATGTTGGCAAACTTATGTAAACTGGTTGAGTATTACCCTGAACGAAGAATGGTAAGTCTCTCAGGATATAGACACAAGACACAGAAGATTTAATCAATGCTGGTCAAGAAACTGATGCTTGGATAAAGTGTTAGAAAGACTTTCAGGAAACAGGTAAGAAAGGAAGAGCTCAGAACTCTCAAGAAATGTTATTGATCTGAAGTTAATGAATTTTAGAGTTTGAATTATGTATACTAATACATCAGGCAGTAGTTTTAAACTGCAGGTTCTAAAATTTGAAAGTTGTGAGAACAGGCCCCAAGGGTAGCCTGAAGAAGTTGGAGAGGTAGCTATATCAATGCAGAGGCAGCAGTATACTAAGTACAACTCTGTGGATGGCACATTGGAGGGAGTCAGGCTACTTTATCATCTTGTGTGAGTCACATGCCCCTTGCTATGCGGGAACATAGAGACATCAACATAGCACCATTTTGGTGATGAGCACATATGTCTACAAGCATCAGAAAAGACCAAAGTATTTGTAGAACTATTGTGAAAAGCAATTAATTTGTAATAATAATAACTGAAAAAACAGAATCCTTGTTTTCTATTTTTCTGGAGCAGAAGATAAGTCTCCTCAAACTGGAAAAGCCCATTTTCCCAGAGGAGAGATAAGCTTTTGTGGTAATCCTTATACCACCTTTGTTTAAAAAGCACTCTCCTTCTTATAAAATAATTCAGTAATTTAAATAGTCTTTTATATGACAGACTTGAGACTCTAATGAAAAATCAATAACAAAAATGTTTGATATTACTTTTCTATTCCTGTATTAGTATTGTGACAGCATGCATAAGACCTGTTCAATGTCAAACCAGACAAACTCCCAGCATAGATGGGCGAGGTAGGAACTAAGTCCCAAGTCTACCTGATGAGCCATTTGCATTTGATAGTTGCTGGGAAAGGAAGAGTCAGTTTTCTTCAAAGCTGTGAATCCTGATAGGTTGACCATGGTGCAGGGCATGTTTCACACTCAAGAGTAATTAAAATAAATTGAACTCAATGATTCAAAAAACAAAAGGGACACAAAGTTGTGTGAGTAGGGAGGTAAGGGTGGATCTGGGAGGAGTTGAGGGAAAAGTGAGTATGATCAAGATACAGTGTATGAAGTTCTCAAAGACTTAAAACACTTTTTTATAAAAGAAGTCCAAATTATAGATGGGATCTGCAGGTGTCTTTTTACAAGGCAGTGAGTCATATATTTCATATAAATTAAATATACCAAAATGAACATGAATTAAAAATAATAACACAGTCTCTCTTAACTGGACTGGAGTTAGTTGAATTAGCCAGACTTCAAGATGCTTGTGATCTAGTGCTAAGCAAATACGCTGCTGACGTCTCTTACGGAACATCCCTTGCCATAACCTTGCTTCAGAAAGTAACGTACGTTGGCCCCTGTCATCTGATTTCAGTTTCCGAGAAATGCCTCAGAGGTAGTGATTAGCTCTGTAAATGAACCTGCCACTGGGATTACTCAAACAGGGTTACACAGGTTATCATATCTTCCATTGTGGGAGACTGGCCTGGATGACCTTTATAGTCTTAGAGTCATGACTGAATATTTTTCTATTCTTACAACCCCAGACGTATTTCAGGTCTGTAGCCTGGACTTAGAAAAGGAGAGCTGCTCTGAAAGTCTTGAAGTCAAAGCATCCATCTTGATCTTTCTGTGACAAGGATGGTAACCTTTCAAGAAACCACTTCCAGGAACATTTTTGTAATGATAGCTAAATGTACCTTGACAGGTTGAGTATCTCCAACCAGAAAAAGTGGGCCCACATCAATATCCGGGTCTTTGGGGTAGATGTTTGGTTTTACATGATGTTGGAAATGTCGATTATTCCACCAGTTTGCTGACAGGCCCTAAGGATAAGAGAGAGCTTAGCTTAGTAATATATTTTTTTCTTCCCAAATACACCTAACTGTAATAATATTCTTTATGTATCTTCAAAGTGCAAATAAAATAAGAGATTTAGCTTTGCTAAATCTGGAAAAAGGCTCTCAGAGCTTGTGAAGAAACAATCCTCTAATTCAGGAACAAAGCTTCAGGCTAAAACCAACTGAGAATGAATACATTTTACTGATACGGACTGTTTCTCCAGCCTTCTTTTATTGGATCCTAATTTCAAAATGATTCTGAATGTAAGTGAAACACAGGATTTTATTCCTATTTTACATATAAAAAAGCATCAGTGCTAAAATTTTAATTAGTTCTGAGAAAAAAGAAAAAAGTAACTCCAGGTCTCTGAATTCAATGAACATTTTGAAGAATTGTCGATCTGAAGTGATGTCCTTGGGGGATTCTACTCAGATCACTGCATGCCCCAGATCAGTGCTCTCATGAAAAAAACAAATGAGAATAAAAATGTTCTTACTGGTGCCAAGCTGAAATCATCTTTGATTAAGCTGCTGCTGATTTACTCTTAGTCTGAGCGTTTTAACAGACCCAAATATTTGGAGGTCTATTAAATGGTTCCACATATTAGCTGTGGAAATGCTGCTGTGTGACTGTGGCAAATCACTTATCCTCTCTGAAGCTCAGTGTTTACTCTAGTAAAGGTGGCACGATGGTATTTAGCTCTATGGGCAGCTCAGGGAGATATGAGCTGCTGTACCCAAGATGCCTGCACATTAAGTACTCAGTTTGTTCTCATTTGTGTTAATCATCTATAGGGGACTAAGAAGTCCTCGTAATTTTTATTGCATATTTGCCATCTCTTAATAACTAATGTAGACATATCACAGATCTCCACTGCCTACTATGGAAGCCACTGGCTACATGTGGCCAGATGAATTAAGTATCAAAATTTTGAAGAATCAATATGAAAAATGAATACAAAATATTTCACTAGTTCTTACATTGTTCACAGACTGAAGTCATAATATCTTCAATATTGTATTATAGCTACATATTGGCTTTGAAATATGACTATTAGCGAATTTAAGATGACAGGTGACATTTTAATGTGGCTTACATTTTATTTCTGCTGGAGAATGCTGGCCTAGGCACTACCTAGGAGGGGAGGAGTGTGGTTTGAAAATCTGTATGCCTTGTCTTCCCACAATCCTTCTTCAGGCCTTGCTAAGAGAATTAGCAATTACCTACCCACTCCAAGCACACAGAGTGGCATGTGGAATTCCCCCCTGCCCCAACCCATTCTAACACATGTCTAACTCATGTCATTCTCCTGATTGCTTGAAAAATCGTTTTCTAAATATTTCTTTCTGGGATATCTTATGGTTCCTCAGACTCAGTGTGTCTCAAATTGAGCTTATCAGTTGCTAGCCGCACCCCCCCCCCTTTGGACCCCCCTGCACTCTGACCTCCTAGCAAATTACACTCTTACGATTATACATTCACTCACTGATTCACCCATTTGTTATTTATTTTAAAGAACATCCTAGATATCAGATTCTGAGCTAAGCATTTGCAATGTTAAGATGGGCATGAGAAAATAAGGTTCCCACACTAGTAAACATACAGTCTAATGGGAACAGTAGATAACCAAACACAGCTTGATAAGAAATCACTTCTTTAAAATTAGGTCCTCCACAGCCAACATTTTGGCCTCTTCTGCAAGCTGACTACACTTTTTTAGACAATGATAACTTGTGGTAACTGGTAAGATGGGAGACAGGTTTTGTGTCACAGCACCAGGGAACAGATCTTAATAGTACAAAGCCCTAGAGGCTAGGACAGTGGCCAGCATAAAGATGGGTGTGATCTAAACAACCAGTTCCGCTTGGGTTCCTCGGTCTGGAAAACACTCTTACCAGAGACAAAGGAGAGCACTCCCTGAGCAAGGGAGGATTCTCAGCTGCAAGCCTGGCTGCTCCTGAGAGGGCTCTAGGTAGGGCCCTCCCTGAGTCATTCCTCATTTCTAAGTTAGGCCCTTTATTCAGTGCAGGAGAAAAAAAATCTAGGCTTCAGACTAAAGTTTACTAGAATTTAAATTCTTGTTTGTCTACCTACTAGGTGTGAGTCTCAGAAAGTGGTTATGCCTATTGAGAGGATTACAGAAACAACTGCTTGACAGATCCTCTCCCCTCCCAACAAATGTTTTAAGATGTAGTCACAGAAGACAGGCCAGGTCAGAATTTCTATGAAGGTCTTAATTTCAAATATTCTGCTCCCCTGTTCTTATAATGATGCTTGATTCTTACTATTTGTAAAATATTTGTGCACGGAGTTTGGAAAAATTCAAAATGGAATTCATCTTGATTTAAATACAGGTTGAGTGCATTGTATATGAAATGTTTGGGACCATAAGTATACTTAATTTCATTGGAAAACTATTGAATATTTGTACATATACAGTGAGATATAAAAGTGAGAATTAAGTCCAAACATAAAATTCATATGTGTCATATACACCTGTTCCTGATGGTAAATTTATTCAGTAGTTAAAAATTATTTTGTATGAAACAGTTCTATGGGCATGGAATTTTTCACTCCTGGTGTCATACTCACGTTAAAAATGATTGGATTTTGGAATACTTCATATTTGGGTTTTTAAATTAGGATTGCTCAATCTGTATTGTACAGGAGTGCTAAATATAGGCAGGCATTTCATTGTTTATTTTCAGAAGGGCTCTTTGTGCATATGCTATAAAGACTAGAACACACAGACACATAGAAACAGATACACACACACACACACACACACACACACACACTTTGTAGATCCAGTGCATAATTATCCCAAAGAGCCTAATTCTCCATGCTTTTTCTAAGATGCAGCAGGAACTGATGTTTTGAAATGTAGACTTGTGGTGATTGTAAGAGGTAGGGATGTTGCTGCTCATAATTTTGTCACCTTTTTCTCACCCTCTTTTCCTCCACATGGGTAATTTTCTCTTCTCCACACAGAGAAGCCCGTATTTATTTTGTTCATGAATCACTGGCTTTGCCTGGAAAAAGGCAAAGTATAGTGGTTTTGCTTTTAGAGCCATTCATTTCCCATTTTCTCATTCTGGTTAGGAGTCATCAAGGCTCTATGCATTCCAAAAGTGCAAAATACATTCTGGTGATGCAGTACAGGAAGAGCTGTGTATGAATTTGGACCAATGGGAAAACATTGAATTTTAAAAGAGCCAGTAAGAGTGGGAATGATTGGAAAAATTTCACATAGTTTGTACCAAATCATCTGCCAATTACCTTTAGGATAAATGACTCTTAGTACCTATGACTACTCAGCTCAGGGGATGAGACACAGGCAAGTTCACCACCTGAATCTCATAGTGATAGAAGAAAACGCCTTTAATCCAACACTGCGGTATTTCTGAATGAATTCAGAAAACTCATCTGGATAGAGTATGGAAGAGTATGCCTACAGGAATTTTCTGATTAAACGAACCTTGTCATGTAATACATTTATTATTCATTCTAATCACATTGAGGGACAGATATATCTTTATAGGAATTCAAAATCCAACTTTGTGTTAGTTAACCTACTTAAGGTTTCATCTGCTTAATAAGAATAGAAACCAATGGCAATCTGACCTATCTTCTTAATACCACCATGATTATACATTTTTAATTGATTCCGTATTCACTTTGTAATGTGAAAATATTTTCCTAATGTTAGCAGCAGCTAAAATAATAAACATTCCTAGGCACTGTGCCAACCATATTACACAAACATAACATATAATCTTCACAATAGACTCACAAGCTGATGCCATTATTTAACTAACCTCATTTGTTTTCAGTGAAGAAACTGAAGTTCAAATACATTAAATAACTTGTTTAAAGTGACCCAGATCAGGAACAGCTAAGTTTCAATGGTAGGTGTGTTTGTTATTGGAATAGTAATTCTCAGTCTTGCCTTTAAGTTAGAATTCCCTGGGGAAGCTTCTAGAAGCATACTGACATGCACATCCCACTACAAAGAAGTTGATTTAGATCATCTACAATGATATATATATATGCTTTTACTAAGACCTTCAGGAGCCTCCAGACGATAGCCCAAATTGAGGACCACTCTAGCCTGCATTGTTGAATACTGTCTTACCAATTTTTCTGCTTAACCAGTTTGCAGACATTGGCTTAAGTAGATGACCTCTTTTAAGATTTATTTTATTAGGTAAACAGGGGTGCTATAATCCCAGCCCAATGAGACTTATATGAGACAGTAAATAGTCTCAATGGAATAGCTCTGAACCTGGCAGATGGGTGGCTTTCACTCGCAAGCTTCTACCCAGCATTCCTTATCGTTTGCTGTCCTCGGTTCACTGTTCTCCAAGGGTTTGGCTTCAGCATTCTCCTCACCCTATTAGTTGACTACTTCTGGGCTGGGAAACCAAATACCTGTTTCTTTTAAAAATATAAACAAATATGATGTTAAGAAAGAACAAACAAGCTCTGAGGGAGGGCCTGTGGACTTTTCCTAGGAAGTCTTAGCTTGAATGGGAGGATTTGGTTGAGAAGAAGGCTCAGGGGCATTTTCTCACCTTCTGAGCCTGAAGACATAGTAAAATAACTACACAGTTATAGAAAAACACAGATCTGGTTTAACTGCGGTTCTTGTAGGCTGTTGAAGGTCAGAAATAGAAGTGGTGGATGCATGGATTGCATAGTGAACATTGTTAAAGCCAGGGCCCAAAGCCCTTCATGTAACTGTATTGATACTTTGGTTTGTGTATTCCTCCAATTATTCGTTCACAAGTTTACTGAAGAGTTGCTTATAGGAACTTTCCTAGGTGCTGCATAGACAGCACACCTACTGCCTGGAAAACTGTGCCAGCCTCCACCATTATCTGTTGCTTTTTGCACTTTATCTTTCTCTTATTTTTAAAATCTGTTTGCCTGACTTTTTCTTTTATTTCTTCAGTTGCACCCTTCAAGATTAATCAGGCTTACTGAAGTCTCCTAAGGAAAATGTTCACATCCTTTCTAAAATATACTTTATTTTATTTTTTATTTTTTAAAATTTTATTTATTTATTTTTATTTTATGTGTATATATGTATTGCCTGCATGTAGGTGAGTGCACCCGTACCGTGCAATGCCTGCGGAGGAGGCTATCAGATCCCCTGGAACTGGAGTTACAGACAGTGGTTAGCTGCCATGTGGGTGCTGGGATTCAAACCCGGGTCTTCTGCAAGAACAACCAGTGGTCTTAACCAGTGAACCATCTCTCCAGTCCATTATTTATTATTTTTATTTTATGTGTATGAGTGTATTGCCTGTACCTGTGTCATACAACACCCATGGAGGTCAGAAGAGGACGTCAGATTCCCTGGACCTGGAGTTACAGACAGTTGTTAGCTGCCATGTGGGTACTGGGAATTGAACCTAGGTTCTCTGCAAGAGCAGCCAGTGCTCTTAACCACTGAGCAATCTCTCCAGCCCCAAGGATGTTCACATCCTTTTAAAGAACATTCTGATTCATGATTTTATAGTGCATACCCAGATATCTAAAGATGCAAACATTCTTCCATTAGGGGAATTCCACAGAACAATGGGAATTAAGCCAAATAGTCTGTCAGATTAATGAAAAATATAAGTGATTGCCAAATAAAAACCAAACATTTTTCATTTAATGTTTTAAAATTCTACTTTGTCATATGTTTTCCAATGTTACATTGCATGTTATTATATATACCCTATTTCTTATATAATAACATGCAATGTAACATTTGCTGACACAAGTACATAATCAGACAGAGCAACCTCTGTCCATAAGGAGTTACATTCAACAATTTCCATCATGTTTCCCAACATCCTGTACCTTGAGATGACACATCACAAATTTCTGCATCAAGTAGTTCCACTTGGACTTCTTAAACATAGAATGGTGTCCTGTGTCATGTTGCAAAAATGCACTCTGAGCCTACAAGAGATTAAGAAGGTTAGAAGAGTTTAGAAGTCAAGAAGGACTCATAAGGCTGCCAGTATAATTATGAGTCATTTTGAGAGCAGTGGGAGGCCACATTGAACCTGAGTCCAAGTTTAGTTTCTATTTCCCGCACATATCACCTCCCCTTTAAGCTTCATGTGTTTGTACAAGTGGTTCTTCCTGCCCAGAACACTGTTCTTGCTACATTCAAAGACTTCTAGTGTGGAATAGAAAGACCATGCATGGACTTCGGTGTCACATACATTTGGGATTTCAATATTTCTCAGTAGTACAACTTTGAGCAAGCAACACAGTATCTCTGACCCTCAGCTCCTATCTGATACACAGGGACAGTAACGCTCAACTCATGGAGCTGTGCAATTCACTTAGTATAAAGTGCCCAGCTTATACTAAGCATCAAATAAATAATTGTTTCCAAAAATTACTATTTAAAGAATAAAGATATTAGCTTTTCAAGAAATAAATTGATGTGAAAATTCTGGAACCTGGAAACCTTATTCTTCCTTCTTGGCAAAACCTTCCCCAGTTTTTCTAATGAGAGTAGAACACCCCTCCCTTCTCCAAGAACTCTTGCTGGCTCTTCCTGCTGCAACCACTCTGCCTCACAGTGTGTTCAGCTGAGTGATTCTTCCTGGAGGACTCCTTTATCTGAGGATAGGGAGCTTGTGCCTTTCCTTTCATATCTGCAACACAGTCTGTACTCATCAGAGTCCACATTCAGAGAGTCATAGTGTATTCAACAGAGGTTTAGTGAATGTTTTGCTAAGTGCCATATATATGTGTATTTATATATATGTTAATTTAAAACTTATTTTTATTATTTTTGTTTTATGTGTATGAGTGTATTGCGTGCATGTATGTGAGTGCATCTGTGTCATGCAATGCCGTGGAGGTGAGAAGAGGGCTTTAGATTCCCCTGGAACTGGAGTTCAGGATGGTCCGTAGCCACCATGTCAGCACATGGGTGCTGGGAATTGAACCTGGGTCCTCTGCAAGAACAGTTAGTGCTCTTAACCACTGAGCCATCTCTATTTTAATTTTAATTTTTTTTTATTTTTGAGAATTTCATACATGAGTCTTTGCATTATTTCCATCACTCCCAGTCCCCACCAGCTCCTCACATGTCCCCCTTATCCCTCACAATTTCTTGTTCCTTGAGTATTATTGTTAAACACACACACACACACACACACACACACACACACACATATATATATATATATATATCAGTAATAAAGGACAAGAAATGATGGAAACTATGTATACACACACACATATAGTATTACTGAGTCAATTTAGTGGTGCTCATGTGTACATGTGTTTAGGGCTATCCACATGGGATTAGAAAACCTCTCGAGAGCTATTCCCTAGAGAAAACTGATTCGCCATCCTTCAGCATCCATTGATTTCCTGTGGCTCTTCATCTTGAGGTAGGACACCTTGAAATTTCCCTTATTCACCTTGGCATGTCAACTGGTTTGCCATTATTCAGATCTTGTTAGATTGCCATACTGTGGCGGTTTCATTGGTGTAGCATTCACATCGTGTCTAGAATGCACTAGGTAACAGCAGGTGTCTTGTCCCTCTGGCTCTTACAATCACTCTGCACCCTCTGCTCTGATGTTTCCTGAGCCTTAGGTGTACAGGTTACATGTAGATGTGTCCATTAGGACTGGGTATCTCACAGCCACATCTTTGTGTTTGACCTGTTGTGGAACTTTGTAATTTTATTTTCATATAATAAGGTGAAATTTCTGACCTTGAAAAATTCACTGTCTGATGCATTAATAAATATTAGTGGACTAATTGATGAAGGATAAGGATGAATTTTACATGGTTGAAGATAGGATCTTAGTTATTACAATTGGGATAAAAGAGGGTGAACAGTATCAATTGTTATTAATTTAATCATTGCCATATGTAGGATATTGTGCTTGCTTGTTTATAAATTGGTTTGCTTAATCTTCAGAATAATTCCATATCCATCACTATCCTCATCTTATAGATGAGAGAACTGGAGCCCAGAGCACTTTGGATAACTGCTCAACCTCACAAGCTGCATGCCAAGAAGTGTCACACAGCTGTTGATGTCCATCTAAAAAGGCTCAGGTAATACTGTGGAAGAGAAGGCTGGAAGAATATAGGAGGTGGAGGATGAGGAGGAGAGTTCTAAATTGCTGTCCCCTGGACAGGATGTAGCTGTTGTGCACATAAGTTTACAGCATGTATGCTTACCTGCACATAGCTGCACAAGATCAAGCCAGTTAAAATTTCCATCGTGGAGTGGAGAGGGCTTCCCAAGACCTCACCCTTAACTGAAGAGCTGTTGGCAGTTAATGGCTTCTGGGAGTAACTTTTCTTTATGGGGGGTTGGCCACTGGTAGGTTATCCATGGCCTAGTGAATGATCTTACACCTACGCACACATGGGAGCACTAACTGGACTCAGTAGACTAAAAAAATAGCTTCAAAAGCAGGACATGAAGTTGGGAAGGAGATGTGATGTGGAGGTTCCTGTGGGGAGTTGGAGGGAGAGGAGCGAGAGAAGGATGGATATGATCCAGACATATTGTCTAGGAGGATGAAGAATATCCAAGCTTCTCTCTGGGGCCACTGACTGGGCTTAGGACAGCTGCTTACCTGAGAAACTGTGAGAAGAATGGAAATGAATATAGTAACCATCCAGCCGCTGCCAAAATGATATAGTATTAGCCATGATAATATTTCCAAAGTCAAGATCTGGGCAAGGTGAAGAAAGAAGAACCCCAGGTTGGCACTGAACATGTTCATAGTCTCTAAAGTCCTGCGCAGTTCCCGGAAATCTTCTACCAACTGTGGCTGTGAAATAAATATTCAAGGATGGAGATTAATTCCTTAAGGGAAATGGAAAGATAGGTGAATATGAGTAATAACTTACCAAGTTAGCAATACATTGTTTTATTAATATGAATTACTTAAAATTAAAACTAGTAACAATTAACAAACAAATGAAATCTTGAAAAGGGGCTGATGACCTTTGTCTTTGTATTTCTGGAGAAAAAGAGTAAGTAGTGACTTACTAACTTTTCCTCAACTCTTAGGGAGGGAAGTTGAAAGTAGTTGTTTTCTGGGATGGGGAAGGAGAAGATAGTTGTGAGATACAGAAGTCCAACAGTTGCTTTTGAAATCATCACTCTTATTTCAGGTGTTGACTGACCTCTGCTTTTATATTTGGAGGACTTGTTTGTCATTGTGGATCTCTGTATTACCATACTTACTGCTATAGTGAGCAAATGCTTTTCAGTCATCAGCTGGTTTATCATAAACGAATGAATCTTTTCCTGTTCTAATGAACATGGAGCAATAGCGTTTGTATAGATTAGCTCTAAGGATGAACTCAGAGATCTTCTCAGTGGATCCCATAAAACAAAACAAGGTTTCTGTTAGCATTAGTGTGGGTTTCCTGGCTAGCATGGACTAGTACATGGATTTTGTATATGTGTGTGTGTGTGTGCATGTGTGTACGAGTTCATGTGTTCATGGGAGATATTAGCATTAGTCTGCAAGATTGTCACATCATACTGAAGAGTGTAAAGTTTGAGTAGAGACATAATTTGTCTTAATGCATATAATAGGACAGTTGAAAATGTAACCAGGACATGATAAAATAGAATTTTAGAGATGTAACAAAGGAGAGTAATTGGAAGTAAAAAAAGGAAAAAGTTGTTAAGGTAATTACAGAAACCAAAAATCTCATTTCAAAATTCACTGATGTAACTTTCAAGGGACCCATTGCCAGCCAAGTGTCCATAGCCTCATCACCCAAGCTCCATTGACCATGGAACTCTGGTGGCCTTAGGTAGTTTCAATAACCTTCTGTATTGATTTGTTTCCAGGACTGCTTTCATAGAGCCTGGTCATCTTTTACAGTCCACTGATTGTCCTGAAAGTCACCGAAATTCAGAGCAATAATTGACTGGCAATCACTAACAAACCAGTGATAAACACTGGACTAGAGCCCACACCTCCTGACATCCAGGTTCATCAGTTTTCTGTAAGAGCAGCTTGAGTAGTTACATGGATATCAAAAGCAAGATTCGCAGATGACCTTTATCTTCAAAGAAGAACATTGTTTTAGACAGTGAGCATTTTACAGTTTTCGGTAATTGGTTGGATTTTCTTTGCCTTTTGAAAGTAGGAGTAATGATTAAACTTTGTTATTCCTTTTTAATCCAGGGACTCCTGTCCCAAGTGGTGGGAACATGTGTAGATGTTGTAACTGGGACCATCATTAGATTTATAATGATGACAATATTCAAAGTTTACTGAGCATTATTGTGCTCCAAACACCATGCCATGCTCTTTAAACTATGCTTCTTTCAATCATCCTCCTGACAACTCAGAAGGATTAGTAGCCTTATTCTTATTTTACATGGAAAGAAACTGGGCCACAGAGATGTTTGAGAACCGGTCTAAATGGGTACAATTTGACAGGGCAGGTTTAGCGTGTGTGTCAGGCTGTACATCCTCAGAGTTCAATTTTCTAGGCAGAGCTAGTCTGGTGCATAGCTGTGGGTAATGAATGTCTTCAGAGTGTGAGCCCATGCATTTCTTCCAGATATGTACATAGTTAGCTCTATTTCTTCAAACTACCCTTGTCTCATGAGTCTGTCTCCTCATTTGTTGAAGAGCTAATAAAGTTCTTTAACTACATTGTATTATATGGGTCAGTATTTTGTACAAATAATTTCAAGGTTACAAATCAGACACATTTAAGTTCTTATGAAAATAAATTGCGGGGGATGGAGAGATAGCTCAGAGGTAAAAAACACTCTTGCAGAAGATTTGGGTTGGGTTCTCAACACCCACATGGTACCTCACAATCACCTGCAACCCCAGTTCCAGGGGACCTGAAACGCTCTTCTGGCCTCTGTGAGCACCAGGCACTCACTTGGTGCACATACACAGATGCGGGCAAATATTCACACACATAAAATAAATAAATAAATAAATAAATAAATCTTTAAAAATAAAAAATTAAATTACAAGAATGAATTTCTTGCTATTAAGTAAAACCTCTTTAATTTTATGCAAAGCCATCCAAGAAAAGTTTTGGTCTAATAGAAATTATGTGTTTGAAAGACCATACTAAATACAGTTAAAATATTAATGAATATCCATCTTGGGGAACTGTTAAGAAAATGGGCCGGAGAGAAGTAATTTAGAGTCGCAGTTCTTTGATGCACCAGCTGCATTCAGAAACGAATTTATTCTCCATGAAGATAATTTCCCCAAACTTAAAACACAGACAAACGATGGGCTTCCTGCTATTATGACATTGGAATTAAAGAAATTCAAAATGAAAAAATATAACTAAAGTTGTACCTTGAATATATGGATGGCATATAAATACTCTGGTCTGATGACTGTACTGTAATGATTATTAAAATGAAGCCTGGAGCCAACCTTCCTACACCTCAATATCTTAAGATATATTTACAACTGTCATTCAACAGTTGAATATTGAGATCTTGATACAGGGCTGATTCTGCACAGGCAGGTCTTAAGACACAGCATAAGTGATACAGACTCTGCTCTCGTGGAACTTAGCTTGTCAGGAAACAGAGTTCAAATACATAATTACGAGCAGCCATGGAAATAAAACATGTGCAAGTGGCCTGGAATGAATTGAGTACTAGAGACAGAGACCTGGCACTGGACAGAGTGTTACAAATTCTATTCCCTTGTTTCATAGAGGTTTAAGTGTTCTGAGAACCAAACACAATCATATTTCATTGAGAATATACATGAAATAATAAAAATAGAAGAAAAATTAAAAATAAAAGTCTTCCTAGAAAAAAAGAGAATGGCATTTGAAATGTGAAGAAGCCACTCATTTACAGTAATCCCCCTTTTCTTTCCCATGGTTTCAGTTTTTATCAGTCATCCTCAGTAAAAAACAATGAAATAAAAAATTCCAGAAGCAAAAGTTCACCAGTATGTAAATTGTGCATTGTTCTGAATAACATACTAGGATCTTCTACCACACTACTCCATGCTGTCCACGATATGAATTACTCCTCATCCACTGTATCCACAGTGTATATACCACCCTCGGGTCAGTTACTTAGCAGCCATCCTAGTAATTATAACTATTTTCATGATTTCGCATTGCTTGCATTCAGTGTTCAGTATTACTCACATTACCCAGTGTTTCAAGCCTCCACTGCAGGGTGTCTTAAGATGTATATCTAAGGGTAACAAGAACTACTGTATTTTGTCATAGACTTACCCAGGCATGACAGCTGGTTTCTCACAGGAAAGAGCCTTGAAACGTGCCTTATCCCCATCCTTCTATAAACTTGGATCCTGAAATGTTACTTACATTTTTGTTTCTCTCCTGGCTGGGCTCTTCTAGGGCAAGCTCTCCAATGAGCAGTGGCTTAAGGTACAAATGCACAATGCTCAGATCCAGGTGCATGGCCTTGAAGGCATCCTGGAAATAGAAGAGCCTGTTAGAAGCTTGCAAAAATGTGTTTGCCCATAGATAGCTGCCCCTTCCTTGCTCGTCTTGTGCCCAACTTGGTAACCAACATAGACTTTGTTACAGAGTGTTTGCTTCTAATTCCATGTTGCCGCTTCAAGATGACAAATCAAAATTATCCTTGGATTCTTCTTTAAAAGTATAATTCCGGGGGTCCACAGGTGTGGCCACTCTTTCTCTAGGCATGCACAATTCCTAGAATACTTATGATATCACTGTTTATTAAGCATTAGACAGAATACTGCTTGAGTTTATTGGCCATGGTGAGTCTCCTCTACAACCAGCATCAGATTTCATGTGAAATTTTCTTACATTGTCTCAAGCATGCAGCAAAGAAGATCATCTATGCAAATCACATTTTCTCTTGAAGGCTCCCTTTTGGCTTTTGACTGAGGCCTAGAAGAATGAGGCCTCTTCAATTAATTATTTCTAGAGAAGGGTAGATTAAATTTGGTAGCAGCAGCTTAAAATCTAGACATGAGCAATCATGGGAGCATAGTGCTTGAGCCTGGGCTGCCTAAAGTAGCACACTCTTAGCTGGATTCATCACTGAAGGACTCTCATTGCTCAATAAAAGTACTGTAGTTAAGTAGTAATTCTACATCACTAAGGGAAGCAGTGTGGTTCCTATATCCTGTTTATGTTTGTAAGAAAAAGGCTCTTTTCTCCCAACTATTTTTATAATTTGAGGGGAAGAAAGATTCTATAAGAGGCAGATGATGGGCTTCCTGCTATTATGACACTGGGGCTGGAGTGATTCAAACTGAAGAAACAAAACCAAATTTGTACCTTGAATATATGGATGGAATGCAAATACTCTGGAGTGGTGACTTGCACTGATTATGAAAGTGGACCCCGGAGCCAACCTTCCTATACCTCAGTTCTAGCTTTCCATTTACTAGCTATGTAATCATGAGCAAGGCTGTTGAGTCACATAAATTGCCTGGTATTCCCTTCCCTAAATGAGAGTGAGACTCTTTACCCAATTCAGTGGTTAGTATGAGGGTCAAATTATTTATTAGAACTGGTATATTTTAATGATACAATACTTTAAAATTTTTTAATTAGTTATATATGTATGGGTATGGGAATATGAGTGTGAGTACTTGTGGAGGCCAGAAGAGGGTGTTAGATATTTCTGGAACTGGAGTTACAGGTGATTGTGAGCTGTTTGACACAGGTTCTGGGAACTGAACTCTGGTTTTCTGTAAAAGCAACAAGCGCTTTTAACTGATGATCTGTCTCTCCAGCCTTAACTACAATGCCTGTTAGTTATGTTTCTAAAACTTTATTTATTTTTATCTTATGTGTGAGTGTATTGCCTACATGTATGTAAGTGCACCTATGTTGTGCAATGCCTGTGGTGGTCAGAAGAGGGCTTCAGATCCCCTGGAACTGGGGTTACAGACAGTTGTTAGCTGTTATATGGGTGCTGGGAACTGAACCCAGGTCCTCTGCAAGAGCAGCCAGTGCTCTAACTGCTGAGTGATCTCTCCATCCCATTAACTATTTTTATTATACATACTTCTAGTGATAAGAACTCACTCTCTACCTTCTCTTTAAGATAGCAATTTGATTTTTAGTCCTATCCTTTGATAACCAATGTGAAGAGAATTCTGAATTATACAAGTGAATGTAATGAGTCCTAGATCATTGAGTCCTGAAGTAATTTTTGGATTACTTCAGGATCAGGGAAATATGCATGAGCCTACTTGTAAGAAGGTGTTTACATGATGAATATGGTAATTAGAAGTGTGCAATAGTGACTCTATTCACTTCACCATAAACTTAGTGCTTGACTCAATCTAGGCTCTACTGTCCTTTCTTGCTCTGCACACTTCCTACAAACCCTTTGGACAAAGATGGACTATATTATTTCAAAGATGTTTTAAGAATTCCACAGTCTATGAAACTAAAGCTTACCAAGCAAAGAATGATTCAGTGATTAAGCGATCAATGTACCTCATGATGAACTCTACTGATTAAATCATGTTCTGTCTGCTGTTTCAGAGCAGATTAGAATGGGAAGCATACTGGTGGATCAATCTTCAGAGTGCAGAAGTATATGGCCTGATTTCATACTGTGTGGCACACATGCAGCACATATTACAAGAGAGTAACCTAACACAATTTCAAAATGTGCTGATAATAATATTCTTCTGAGTTCAATGTTACTTTCAAACCCTAGGAATGATTAGAGATCAGTACCTTGGAACAGATACTGAAGAGCTACAGAGATTCTCTGAACAGTATGGTTGGTGCTACATGAAGTCCTTTTCTTCACATTATTTGGGCAGTAGAACAAAGGAGTTTAAGTAGCCTTAGAATATTCTAACAGAATCTGTATCCTAAGTTGTGAAATCCCTACTTGGAAGCCTGCAAAAACAGGTTCTGTTACTCACATACTTGGGCAAGTGTGTTCCTGCTGAAGGAGGGGGAGTGAAACGAAGGCAGAAAGGGAAAGTGCCAGTATTTGCGGAGTGCATCCTATGTATAAGGAATGTGACAATTCATTGCTACCGACTTACTGCTCTGAAGTTCCATCACTTCTAATGTACAGATAGACATCAAATCTTGGGGAATAGCGAGTGAACCCCCCCCCCAAATGACACAGATGGCAGTAGAGCTAATGAATGTTTGAACTTAGGGCTATGACACCAAGCAGCTCCATTCCAGCCTTGACACGTCTAATGATTCTTTCTCTGAAAGGCATGCTGCTCGATCATCTTGAGATGATGCAATGGTGTTTCTCTACTGTAGGCCTTAATCTCGTAAAGTATTTTGGCTCTGGCACCAATCTGCCTCCTCAGGCTGACTTCACTCTGTGTCTTTCATGTACCATATTCTCAATCAGAGTCTTGCATGCAGTAAAATTCCATGCCCTTTTAGGGTTCGGAAACTTTGTAGATGTCATACCCTTTCCCTTTACTTCCTTCTTCCATTTGTCTCTGCACGAAGTTCTTTCATACCTTTTAAGATCAATATTAAGTGTTAACACACTTGTCCATTCAGGAAACTTATTTATAAGCACCCCTGAATACTCATGACACTTTGTTTCTAGAGCTTTTATAAAAAAAAGTACTGATTTATGTATGTATGTATGTATTATTTATTTATTTATTTATTTATTTATTTATTTATTTATTTATTTATTGTGTGTGTGTGTGTGTGTTTTATGTATCTATGGGCATCCATGGAGGTCAGAGGATAACTTGTGGGGAATAGGTTCTTGCTTTCTACCATTAGGTCCCAGGGACTGAACTCAAGATTATCTGGCTTGCCTGCAAGTGCCTTTACTGGCTGAGCCACCTTGCTACCCACTCCCCATATCTCAATCTTTATCTAAATGTACAAAATACCACCTAGTCATCCCCATGAGTTTATTATGTCCCTCAATAATTTACTCAGATATTATTCTAAAATATATCTAGGACCTAGCCTAGTGACTAAGACCTTTGTATTTGAAATAAGATATCAATAAATAATTGTATATTATCATTATCATTAGTATTACATAGTTCATTAATAAGGGTTTAAATTTCCCCAAGGAAGTATACTAAGAGACAAACATAAACTCGTAAAGCACCAATGAAGAGAATGTGCATCACAAAACAAGGCATTATAGAATGTAGCTTTTTCACAAAGGCTTTTGTTGCTAACTTTAAAATCTCACAAGTATAACCATAATCCCAGTACTTGGGAAATAGAGGCAGGAGGATCAGAAGTTCAAGGTTATTTTTGGCTATATAGTGAGTTCTAGCTCCGTCTGTGGTACATGAGACCTTGTCTCAAAACTAACTGACTGACTAAAAGCTCACAATTTATAGTTTACATTCCGGTTGGTAGTCTGCTTTCTCCTCTTGTGTGCTCAGATCTTGTGGGCTCCAAGGCACCGACTAGAAGAAGCGTCCTAATATCTCAAACACGGGGTGAGTTGTGAATAGACCGATTTATGGTGAGAATGCATCTTTTCCTTGTCTTGGGGGCAGTTCATACTTTTGCTTGAGACTTCTCAGAATTGAAGGTGTTCGCTTTTACTCCGTGGTGCTCTCAGCTAAGCTCCAGCAGCCTTTTTCTTTCTCCTTCCATCCTTTCTCTCTTCCTTCCTCCTTCTCCTTCCCTCTTTTCCTCCCTCTCTTCCTCCTAAACCTATGCATCTTCCTGGCACTCTTATCCTATAATGAGATCTCCACATCAATTTAGCCCCTTATCTTGCTTCCTTACCCAGCTACTCATCAAATATTAAATTGTCTCTCTTAAATGCTCTTTCCATCCCTCTTCTCTCTCCATTCTTATTGTTCACTCTTTATTTGGACCTCCAACATATTTCCTGGACTCCATCCTGGCTTCCTTCCTTTTGATTGGTTCTTTCTTCATTTCATTCCTCACTTAACTGCTGGGCTGGCCTTTCAGGGAGACAGCATCTTCACACATCTGTTTTCTTTTCTTTTTTATATGTAATTTTTATTGGTAGATGTTAATTATACATAGTAATGAACTTCATTATGGAATTTTCATACACACATTTATATATATTATATTTCTTACCCACATTACCCTCTCTTGTTGTCCTCCCACTGGCCTCCTTCCTCTTCTTGCTTAGTTCTTCTATGTTAATTAATTAATTAAATTTGCTTGACCACACAAATGCGTTCCGTTGGGAGTGTTTACAGGAGCCTGAGTGAGAGACTATTTACAGGAAGATGGACTTCTTACCCATAGCTTATGCTACTGAAGAAAATGTCTCCCTTTCTCAGCAGCCATCAGCTGACCAAACGCATGGAGGAAGGAGTGAGGCCTCATGTGTCTCCTCATCCCCAGCTATCATGGTCCACTTTCTGTTAGAACTTGGGCTCTCTCCTATCTGTCTACCTCTATGTATCTTACAATTGGAACTAAGATCCAAATGGAAATCAGATTATTTCTTACAAGCTTTTGACAACCCAGGAAAGATGCATTTTTATTGATTATTAATTTTTTTTTCACCAACAGTTTAGACACAATACTTGATTTTGTTGTGCTGGTGAGGGTGAGAACAGATGCTGTACCGGGAGGCACTGTGTACAGTGGAGGGAGACACAGCTGTGCATTGGGGTAAAATTCAAACTCAACACTCACAATCTCTCTGTTTGCTCCTGTTTCTGTTTGTTTCTTATTCCTTTCCCTCTCCTCTCCCTTCATCTTCCCTCTCACCACCTCACTATGATGGTGTCGACATTAATTGAATGTGCATTTTTGGCAGAGGAAGCGGATACCCATGCTGTTTGGGCCCTTACTCATGACACTAATCACACATGTACTCCACCTCTGTGTACACCCTTACTCTGCCCTAGCCTTGCCTCTGTCAACCCTGCACATCCAAAACCACACGAAGTGCTTTTTGGATTTGTACTTGGCTTTATATTTTTCTCCATAGGTGTCTTCCAAGTATTTGAAGACACTGCCACATTTCCTGTAAACTTTTGTCACCCTTTCCTTGTCTTTTCCACCTTTAATATTCATAAGAAAATGCTTGTGTGTGTGTGCTACATGTATGTATGTGTAGGTATTCATGTATTTATGTGTGCATGCGTGCATGTGCATATGCATGTGTGTGTGTGCGTGTGCATCTGTGTGTGCTAGTGGTTGATCTCAGGTGCCTTTATTGGTCACTTTCCAGCTTATTCTTTGAGACAGGGTCTCACAGGAAGTAGCTCGATGATTCAGTAAGGCTAGCTGGTCAGGGATTCTGCCTCCTCCTCCTCAGTGCTGGGATTACAGCCATGTGTCACATGGCCAGCTTTTTACCTGGGTGCTGGGGATCCAAACTCAGATCATCATGTTTGCATGTAAGCACTTTACTAGTGAGCCATCTCTCAAACCCTCTCAGGGTTTGTGTCCCTTCTAAAGAGTGGTATCCAGTGATGAGTGGATTGACCTTCACAAAGCTTGGTAAGCCTGCCTTCTTTGTTCCCAAGCATGCTGCTCTGTGTATCTAACACAAGACTGCACTTACTTCTTTTGTGGGCTTTGAAACATATTGTTGTTTTATAGAAAACTTATGGCAAAGTATTAATATGTGTATCATCAAAATGATTTATTATCTTCATTTTAGAGACTCATTGTATAATTATATAATAATCTTCATAATCAATTCTTTCTTTAGAACTTACAGGGTGTTACTGGATTTTCCTGGGTGAATTCACACAGGTGAAAAGAACTGAGCCCAAACTCTGGTTAATACTAGTGTTATACAGCTTAAATTTCTATAGCTTGTAAACAACTAGATAATTCATACATGCAATAGCAGGGGCTTATTGCCGATTTAGTTTTATAGGTTTATTAAAGTACTTTGGAGAATGCTGAAGTTCATTTTAGAAGAATGAAATAATAATAATAATAAAACAAAAGAACTTCCATTTATTATTTAATCTATGCTGAGCACCATAAAGAGGGCTTCATTTTAACTCCTCCAAGTTTTATTATAAAACAAAGATTATAGTGTTAGTATCTCCTTTTATAAATGAGAAACTGAGACTCGGATCTTAAATAGCCTCCTTAGTACTATCTAGTAAGGATGGAACCCAGATGCATTCTAAATCTATCCAATTTCAAGATTTATACTTTTATCCCTCGGCCCAGGCTCTTTATAAAGCTTTAGAACAAATGAATGAATGGATGAATGACTCCATGATATTGTGCTGACTACTTAGGTACCACCATCTACCTTTTATGAGGTATGGAACAGAATTCTCATGTACATAAGAGAAAGGTTCCCCATCTGGGCAGGTGCAGTCATGGATCTAGGGCCTAGCACACAGAGATTATTCTTTGGTCCTCATTTGCCTGTCAGGCAACATTGTGGTAATACTTCCTGAGTTGTAGAGTGGCATTTGGCCTCAGACCCTTTGACTGAGGAGCATGTCTCCATTATATAACCTTCTGTTCCCAAATAAGTGACACAAACTGTGACAGAATTTCTATGCCAATAATAAGTTATCCAAAAGTGACCATCACACTTCTGAGGATATGGATGCTGATGACTTGACTAATAATAGTGATAACTTATTGAACTTTAATCCATGCTATTGTTGGGGACACTATAGATGCATATAGTTCATTTACCATACACCAGTTAGAGGGGCAATGTGACTTCTGTTTTGCAGATTATGGAGTTGAAGCGTGGGGCATTTCAGTAGCATTCTCAGGTCATATAATCTATTTCAGTGCTTGTACACAGACTTCTGAGCAGCCAGAGAGAATTTGGATCTGAGCTTCCCCTGGGCTCTCCTATCATTCTCGAGCCACCATCCTTTGGAGAATTTTTTTAATTGAATGTTTTTGGATTTATTTTCCTAAAGTCTATGGTATGTGGTAGACCAAGCATATGATTTGCTTTCCTTATATATATCAATACTAAGGTGGCATGGGTATTTTTCCCCTAAAGAGTTTATGGTATCTACTATATTAAGCATTTATTCTTCATTTTAGACAGGGCTAGAAGCAGAAGCAATTATTTCCTGATTTCAGGGGGATAAAATTGATCAGAAAATTTCAGATTTATCATCTGGGTTACTGATATGAGGCTGTTATTTTAAACATAGTTGAAATTTCAAGTCCTTGCCAGCACACCTTTGAGCTAATTCTATGATTTATATTAGAGAATCTCTATTCAGACCAGGCAAGATGGTGTATGCCTGTAATCCCAGCATTTGGGAGATGGAGGTCAAGAGTTCAAAGCCAGTATGATATGTATGAGACCTTGTTTGAGATAAATAAATAAATAGATAATAAAAAGTCATCCATTTTCCCTGAGCTATAGAAATAAGGGGACAAACTAGACAGAGATCTATGGGCATTTTTTGTCATTTAAAATTTGTTAATTGTTCTCCTGTTATTATTATACAAATGTTCACCTTGCCTCTTCTACCACCTGGTCTCTAGAGTTCTCCACGGGATGTCTTTTTCTGACACCCATCATACTCTCCTCTTTTGCTATGAGCTCAAACTCACTTTCCCAAGGAAAGGTTGATTGAACCTTGTTTAAAAACAGTATCAGATGTGGCAGAAGTAGTGGGGATGTAGCAGGGTGTACTTGGAAAGACATTCATCTGACTGGAGCTTCAATACAAGAAAATGGTAGAACAAGAATTTGTGCAGGAGGATGAGAAACTAGGAAAAACCAAAGAATTGTGGGAAAGATGCTGATGGTCTCAAAAGAAGAGATCTTTTAAATTTTACAAATCTGTCAGGAGCCCACGAGTCTCATTATTGGCATGTACCACTTTCAGATTGGCATCGCCAGTCTTATGCTTAGAAGACAGTTGAGAACTATGCTAATTTGAAAATGAACAAGTGTAAAAAAATTAAAGCCCAGGTATAAACTTCTGCTCTACCATATATTATTTTTTCTCACCTAGTTGTTTAGGGGATCTATCTCTCCTTTTCTTTATCAGTACAATGCTGGAAAATAAAATTTCCAAAGTGAGAGAAAATATATATCTTTTATAGAATATTTAAATAGATTCTACACTGTACTAAAGAGTCTGGTAGTTACCAAACACTGAATGAAAATTAAAAGTAAACTTTATTACATCTCTCTCTCTGTCTCTCTATGTATCTTCTATTTATTTAGTGTGTGTGTGTGTGTGTGTGTGTGTGTGTGTGCACGTGCATGCTCATACCATGGATGGTGCACATGTGAAAGTCAGAGGATTACTTGTGGGAGTTGATTCCCTCCATCTACCATGTTGGTCCCGGAGACTGAACACTGGTAATTTGGCTTGGTGGTACGTGCCTTTCCCACCTTTTCTTACCTTTTCCCATCTTGCTGACCCCCATTTTTGTTAAAGAACCAGATATAGAGGGTTTTATGTTCAAAACAACCTGAATCCAAATATTGTTTCTACGAATTACTGGCTGTGTGGCACATGACTTCTTCGCACATCAACTTTCTCACCTTAACATGGGAATAGCATGCATGTCCTTTAGGAGAGTAACTCAGGTGGTGCAACTGAATGTGTTGCATCACCTTTGCTGCATGGTGTCAGCTACATTGAGCAGAAGAGTGCTGTGAACTTCCCAAGTCCCGGTAGTTGTTCGTTTTTATCATTAGTGTCATTTGATAGCCACAGCTTGAATTGCTTTCTGAAAAATTTCTGCTTGAATTTCAGATATTCCTTCTCTCAGATTTTACTCACTTGTTTGTAATTTTCTCCTTATAAGAGAGTGATTCTATTTTGAAGTGAACCAAAACAAAACAAAATCCAAACAACAACAACAACAACAACAACAACAACAACAAATGAAATCAAGAAGACAAAATCCAGAATACCAAAACCACAGTATCCACTGTTAGTATCTGAATTTATCCCATACTGGGTAACAGCTAGACCTTGAAGCTTGATCTGCTTCCAGATTCTTGCTAGACAAGAATCCTGAAAAGTTGGTTTGGAAGGAGATAGTGACAGTGGAGCACAGCACGTACTTTAATGATTTTTGGGAAGAGAGCCAAGATCTCAGCCGTTCAGCAGCTGGGAGTGGGAGAGAGAGAGGGAGAAGGAGACAGAAAGAGGCAGCGGGTGCGAGAGAGCACGTGGAGCTTCTTACCGTGGCATCTTCCCCAGCGTAGTGGCTGAGGACCCGGTGCCCACCTGGATGCTTGTTTGCCCAGTCAGTCACATTGTAAACCTTGCGATTGATCACCAGCCACTGGTCAGTCCCCTGATTGTGCCTCTGGACTTCCTGCCAGGTGTACGTGTTGAGACTTTTCCCCAGCCTGCTGCTCTTGCCATCTGCCTCCTGCTTTACAGAGACCTCCACTTTGCCATTTGCTTTCAGTTTCCCATTTGCCTGAGGCATGCCATCTAGACATGGTGGACTCCTTCCTCCAAGGCTCTCACTGTGCTCAAGCTTTTCCTCCAACTTCATGGTCTCTGAATACCTGAGATTATCTAGGCTAATTCCTGAAATTTCTAATCCTCTTATTGGGCCATAAAAAGAATCCATTCCTCTTCTTTCATTCCACTGCAGTCTGATGCCTATACAGAAAACTTTTAGCTCAATTAATTCTTCACAACCTGACCATGAGCACCTGCCCAACCTGCTCCTGCTTTGGTCTGTAATGAAGCTTTTCTGCACCGAGAGAGGCTAGACCATATTTCTCTCTTCACCTGCCTCTCTGTTGGTCAGTGTCTTAGCAGCATCCTCCTTCATCATTAAATGTTCCAGGGTACCGAGCTCCAGCCAATCGCCATCTGGTTCTATGTAGAGGGCCCCACCCCCTCGGAGGAGTGACTTTCCTGTCACATCAAGGTGGGTTGGGTTTGCCAGCTCTCTGTGGTGCCTGTAAACAAAGACTTTCAGATTTGTAAATCAAACATTAGACTAAAAGCTTTCAGAATCTTCAGATGTACGGAATTGCTTTGCAGACTTGCAAAATAATCTTTGGATAGCTGTCATTTCACCTGGGGACTTTCAAATATGTTTAAATATTTTTTTAAGTTTAATTTTACTTAAAAAAGCCTAAATTGACAATGTAAATCACTCCCCCCCCCATTTCATTTCCTTTTGAAATCTTTCTATGTAAGCACTGTAAAGGCAACAGGAATTTCCAGTCTCTCTCACATGCTTTATCTCTCAATTCCCTCACCAACCTTTCCAGGGAAGCTTGTTAGTGTTCCATTTTCCAGTGTAGAACACAAAGGGCATACAGTGTCAGGTAAAGCACCACAATCACCTGGTGAATGAGAAATAACTTGATGCAAGAACCCAGATTTTCCCACCCCCAATTCCAAGTACTCTTCCTCCTTTCCCATATCTAGATTCTAGACAGTTTCAAAAACTGGACTTGATGGTTTTGAAACAAGACAGAAGAGGAGATGCCCAAGTGGTGGGTGGATGCTGCTGAGTTTTAAGAAAAGAGGCTGTATAAAACAACAGTAAAACTATACACTTTGAAAACTGTTTGAACTGACTTACACTTTGAAAACTGTTTGGACTCTTACATTAATTCAGAACTGTTATACAAAGGCATTTACCCTAGTTATTTGTAACTCTTCAGATCAGAAATGGCCTGAACGTTCAGCTATAAGGAGGAAGGCTGCATTAATTATGCATATACTGAATAGGATATAAATATTTTAAGACAAACCTTCACAGAATTTTTAATGGTATTCACTCATGATCACAGTATCATTAATACAAAGGAAAAGTTATCCAACAAATTGTATTTACTGATTAATATATAATGGGAAGTAAGTAGGTCAAAATGCTGGCATAGTTGTCTTTGGATACTAGTGCAATTGCAGTTATGTTTTAAAACAATTTTGTGATACTTCCAACTTTTCTATAAGTTAGTATATGCTATTTTTATTATTTTGTAATGAATTTTTTAAAGTGAACCAAAGAAAAACAATGCATGGATTTGGAAGGCAGATGACCTGGAGTCATATTTCACCTCCATCATTTATTACTATACGACATCACCCAAATTAGTTCATTTGACTCTAGTTTTCCACCTGTAAATAACAATAATAAAAAAGGAACAACTCTCATGGCTGCATTAAACTTGTGTGAGTGCCATGGTATTTACAGAAACTCTCAATAGTTGTTTTGGTTTCTAAGGAGAGGTTTTAACCTAAATCCAGGTGACAGATTTGTTGACTATTTGTAGATCATAAGTTCAGGAAAGCATCAGAATTTCAATATCAGGGAAATTTAGGAACAGCAGTCAGCTTAGGACTTTGGTTGAGGCAGGTCAGTTTTTTTCACAGGAGTAGGCTGGCTGGTACTTTCTGTAAACTTGAGATAATGTTTTCCCCATATCGTGCCATGCAGATACACTGGGAAGACAGGTAGCTGCAGATCTTTACAGATTTCATATGTACCCCTCACAGCCTTTTCATGTATTTGGAAGATTCAGGATATAGTGGTATTGGAGTTTTGATAGCTATGGTCTTCAACATAACTGTCCCCCAGTAAATGCTCTTTATCCAACTGAATGCAACCCCAGAAGAGTAGAGGTGTCTGTGATCTGTTCAAATCCTTCTGAAACCCAGAAGAGCTTGTCCCAGATATATAGAGAGCTGATATCTTTTTTGTTATTACTCTTGGCATTCTCACAGTATTCTGACTCTTCCTTGGGTGGGGGTGGGGGAAGTTAGGTAAAAGCTTCGTCTCAGAGGTAATACTCAGGCTAATTATGATTACAAAATGTGTAAAACCCAAAGTTTCTTGAAAGGATATGATCATGAGATGTTAATCTCACAGAAAACCTTTTGAAATATCAGCCTCTTTTGTCAGGGAAAGGCCAGTTATTCAGTCATTTATTTATAATTCCATCCACTCAGGCTGTATTGAGTGACATCTGTGGATTAGCATTCTATCCATCTTGAAAATCAATGGAATCTGACATCATCACTCAAAAGGACAGGACTTAATGATGTCAACTACCAAAAAGTATCTGTGGGTGAACTTTCCAAACTCTGGTGCCCCTCTCTCTCCTCACAAAATTCTTTGTTTTTTTTTGCTTGTTTGCTTGGAGACAGTGTCTCATGTATTTCATGCTGGCCTTGAACCCCTGATGCAGTCATGGCTGACCTTAAACTTTTGAGTCCCCTGTCTCCACCTCCTGAGTGCTGGGATTACAGACATATACACGCTGCACTCCCCTCATTTGTATATGGTCCTAGGGGTTGAACCAAGGTCTTTGTGTATAATATGTAATATTAACTAAGCCACATGCCCAGTTCTCAACCCAGAACTTCAAAATAACTTTTTATGTGTATGAATATTTTTCCTACATGTAAGTGCACCTGTGTGTGCACTCAACCTAGAGCTTTTTAGAGATGTTATGGAAGTTTTTCCTGATCTCAAGAAACTTCTTCTGTAGGTACAGGGACCATTGTGGAAGAGGGGGTGGAAAGATTTGTAAGAGCTAGGGGAGGAGGTACATGACCATATGGAAATAGAGTCTTACAGGTTCCTGGGACCCTGCTCATAGGAATTTGCAGCAATGGTGACAGCAGACAAAAAAATCTAGCACATAACTGTGGAAATGGGCAGTGGGCCCCAGTCTTCACTGAGGAACTATTAGATACTGATTACCACTGGGTGAGGAAGAGCTGACCTTCTTTAAGGGAGTGACTCTAATCAGGCTGACTGCACTTTAATGGATGAACTTGCACTGAGGGACATCAGGGGACACTAACTGGACTCAATAGGCTTTAGCATAAATGACAGAATGCATGAAATCCAATGAGGGGCTATGGGAGTGTGCCAGTGGGGGAGGAGTATAAAGAGGACTAAGGTGTTATGTATGAAGCACACAAAGATTAAATAAAAATATATTTTAAAAAAGAAACTTCTTTGATCCATTAAATATTTTTCAAGAACGAAGTATTTTCAGGTTGCCTTGCTAGATAACCTGGAGATGAGAGATAAGCCACACTTTTCTTTAACACTTTGCTTTCTTTGTATAGAAATATGCTAAAAAAAACCAACAAGGCAAATATAAAGCTATCTTCTTCCCTGTGCATTCAACTTCTTTATAGAGAGAAGTCCAGGATCAAAATCAAGAACTTCTAGTAACATAAATCTGTGCATTTCATAGAGAACACATTAATCTTTATTCCTCCTTTTCTGCTGGCCCCCTTTCATAGCACTCTTACTGGAATTCATGCATTCTGTCATTTGTGTTAAGGCCCATCGTGTCTAGTTAGTGTCCCTAGATGTGCCTCAGTGAAAATTCATCCACTGAGGCCTAGTCAGCCTATCTAGAGTTCCTCCCATTAAGATCAGCTCTTCCTCACCCAATAGATTGACTAAGATTGGGGCCTGCTGTCCATTTCTTTATTTCTGTGCTGGATTTTTGTCTGCTTGAGCTTTCATGGGTCTTGTGCATGATGCCACCACGGTTGTAGATTCATACAAGCAAGGTTATAGGAACCTGTAGGACTATTATTTCTACATGGTCATGTACCTCCTCCCTGACTCTTACAACCTGTCTGCCCTCTCTTCTGCAATGGTCTCTGAGCCCTGGGTGGGTGGAATCTAATATATGAGTCCTGTCCAAAGACCCACACTCTGCAGACTCTTGTTCTCTATGGTTTGGCCATTTGTGACCTTTTGTGTTCTGTTGCACAAGGGAGCTTCATTGATGAGAATTTAAAGATGCATTAGTGTTCTCTTTAGCCTTTGCTCTGTGTTCCATGAGTCTTAGTTGTAGAGGTTGCACTGTAGATGTGCTTCTTAGGCTTTGGCAATTGACAGTCTCTGTGTTGGCTGTACCTAGTTTCCTCACTTTATTTTTTCTTTTTGTTTTTTGGAGAAAGGATCTGGCTGTATATCCCAAGATGGTGTGGATTCACTATGAAGAAGCCTCAGCTGGTTGTAAACTCACGATTCCCCTGTATCAGGCTCTCAAGTACTGGGATGGCAGATGTGAGTCAACAAACCCAGCTCAATTTCTTCAATTTAGAAACACAGACAAAGGGGCTAGAGGTGGGTCAATGTTTGAGTGTGAACACTGATCTTGCTAAAGACTCCAGTTTGGTTCCTAGCACCCACATTTGGGAGCTTACAACTGCCTGTAACTCCATGTTCTCTAGGGGTCTCTTGGGTGATTAGACAAACCATATAATATATTTTTATGTGAATTTATTATAGTTTAGCCCTTGGGCAGGGAGGGGGTAAATGGGGGAACTTACAAGGAGACAAGCACTCTTGCACCGGGTCTCAGAGCCCACCAATTCAGACTGCACCTGGGCCCACCCATACTCTCCATTAACTTTCACCCATGCATCTTGGGCCCACAGTCTTGCCCTAGGTTGGTAAATGCCCCTTCTCGAGTCCACGTGGGTGAGAGCCATCTTTCTCTCCATGCCCCGCCCCCCCTGCATTCCCCATGCCCCACTGCTGAGTGTTCCTGG